ATATGAGAAGAACTGATCTCTCGATTGAATTTAACCTTGCTTTTTCAAAAAGATTTATCAACATGGCTAGAGTGGATTACAGTTTCGACTTTGCCTAGATCTTATCAATGCTTGGCCTTCCTTGAAGTTCACATCTACTCTGTTACCCAAGCGCACTTGTTGCAGTGTGGTGTAGTGGTTAATGTTTCGAGATTATACACGGCAGTGTCATGGTTCGAGTCGCGCAGGGGGTGCTGATAAGACGTAGGCTAGGTCAAAACTGCAGTCCACTCCAGCCAGGATAACTACTTTTTAAAAGGCAAGGCTATGTTAAATTTAATGGGAATATAAGTTATTCTCATATCACCGTGGGAAAAATTGAACTACCCTTTTATCACCGTAAACGAGAATTGATGATTGACCTTTATATAGAAATGACCTCCTGGTAGTCTCTATGACCTACTTATAAAACGAAGCTGAATTATTTCACTTTTATTCGTGATTTATTTCTGTTAATTTTGGAGTTAAGTACTAGAGGGTTGTTGATTTGCTTCACAACCATCCACACTAAGATGGTCTGGACTGCTGGAGACTTATTTGTTCAAGGTTCTTTCAGTATGGCTGCAGTCTCCGTGACACCATTCTCCATTCCTCACCTTTATGGAATCCGTTCAGTCTCTATCCCAGATCCATGACTAATCAACTTCATGATGGCCCGATAACTCCGATTATATCATTGTTGGGCATATTGTCGTTTTATGTGGAAATGCGAATTTGGATGTGAATCTTTAATCGATGTTAGTATGAAGCTTTTATGCGAATGATCTTTTTTTAAATGATCACATTTTTCACGTTTTTGTACAGAACCTCAAATCAGCCTTTTATTTTGTTGACTGATGCTGGCATGGCTTACATTTCATTTAAAGATGCGAGTGAACGGGATTCTTAACTTGTCTTAGAATTACGCGAATAATTCCTCGACTTCTAGAGTTACCTTTAGGGCAGAAAATGGTCGCCTACCAACCACCTTGCTGGATTTTTCGTAAATCACAATTTCCTACTCCAACAATGTCTTTCACGGTAGGGCAAATGACCTTGAGACGGTGTGCCGATAGTATTATTGTACAAATCTTCATTCAAGTCTCTAAGACAATCCCCTTTCGGCTTCTGACATGGCTTTCATAGTATTTTTCAAACGACCTTAATCTGTTAAAGTTTTCTTCACAAGTTAGATTTTCTTCATTTTTACACGATTTTTAGTTGCTTTATGCACTTTGTTGCCCTTCTGTCTCATTTAAATTTCTCTCAACACAAAGTATCTTGACACGGTCTCTCTATTCCCTCTTGGACATTTTGCCACTACTTTAACTATTTGTAGAAAACATCACCTGTTAAGTTATGGCTTAAGAGAAAGAAGCCTCTCTCTTAACGCATTTATGCTTCTTTTTCATGAAAACAAAAAAGAGTGTAGATCAGTCTACTCTTGAAAGTCACTCAACTATAAACCTTCTAACGACACACTATTCCCTTCTATCCACAGGTCTTGCTTCAACAGCAGATCCAACCTGCCGACCATTTTCAGCATCTCCAGTTGCCTCCAGGCCAACTTGCTCTCATCTCCAAAGTAAACTTCAACAGCCAACTCAGCCACTTCGACAGGAACAGGCTCCTTACGAAAAGCTTTCCGACGGTCTGGACCTCTCCGGCACAATACAGACATCAGGAGCTCTGAATCTCCCTGCATTTTCGTCCTCTATCTCTGGTTCTGACGATGGAGGTGTCTGTGTTTGCAATAGTATCGGAACCGACAGTTGTGGCGGCGGACCGTTTACTTCACAGTCCACTGATTTCGTCGGAACAATTGACTCCTCGTCTTCTTCACCTTGTTCTGTAGCCTTTTCGCCAACTATCGGTCGTGCCGAAACGATTTCTTTGACCACGCGAAGTGTCGATGAGGTCCCGATGGATCTGCGGCGTACTCTTATCCAGCCAGAAGAACTATGCCAGAGTCCTTTCTCTGCACAACAGTTGGCTAGACCTTCGGAACCAGGTTGGTGCCCATCTTTAATCGGATCTGTTAACCCCATTTCCTTTGCTTCCACAATTATTGCTGAATTATAGTATTGTTTTTCTTCTTTCATATTTCAATGTAAGGATAAAAAGTATCAATTAACGCTTTCGCTTAATCTCTTCCCTCGTCATCATGGCC